TTCTCCCCCTTTCCCAGCTTGTCTTCGTGGTGTAGTGGTTTTGCACACTGGGCCGATATTCCAGAGGTCCGTGGTTCCATTCCAGGCGAAGGCGGTTGCTAAGTTTTCAATCCCTCTTGCTTTCAATTAACCTAATGACAAGTGGCGCCCCAACTAAAAGAGTGTTGGATGAGGATTCTCCACACCCAGGATTTGGCGACTGGGTCCCCTGAAAACCCCAGTTGCCCTTTATAAAGGGGAGTATATGAGGTATTTCTCCCACTTTCCTAGCGTGCCTTCGTGGTGTAGTGGTTCTGCACATTGGGCAGTTATTCCAGAGGTCCGTAGTTCGATTCCCGGCGAAGGCGGTTGCTAATTTTTCAATCCCTCTTGCTTTCAATTAACCTAATGACTCTACAAAAATATATGTGAGTATAAATCCTTCCACATCATTTACTTCTTCTTCAACTTAGCAGAGTCGTGACATAATGTAGCTCAGTTTGGAAAGCTACAGACGAGAGTTTGAAGTGCTGAAGACTAGACGCGTTCCAGACAAGCGGATATTATGAGATAGAATGGAAGCGGAGAGATGGTCCGCAGGTCCATCAAGATGTTCGTCCATAGTAGTATGTGGGTAAGACGTGCCCTTGAATGTATTTATGGAGCACTGTGAGTTAGCTAGCCGTACAAAAATTCTGTGGAACTGTTGAAATTACGATCATTGTAAGACTGCTTGCAAAATTAACTTTAACTATCTTTTATTTATCTTACTTTTCATTCATTTAATATTAGTAAAATGAAGCAGTAATTATGCTTTAAATATGCTCCACCGTGTTCTTTGAAAATAAATACTTTACTAACTATGGATTCCCTCCTTTTAGATAATTCTACTAAAATTAATATTAGGAGATAATATAATCAATATTTCGTTAGTAAATATATATATATATATATACACAGAAAACAAAAAATATTACATATTTTAATTTAACGCAACTTTAGTTTAATAAATTTCTTCGCTGTCAGTGCTCAATATAATCAACCTTGAACGTTTTTTCAGTGGAATGAGATCGCTTTCTCTTTCAGAATTTCTTTCTTCATTTAAAGTTCTGGCATTTTCTTTCTTCTTTAAAAAATCTGTAATTTTACTTTTCTTAGTAGTTCTTACCGGGTCAATGTAAATATGTCGATATGGAGCTAGACAGTTTTGCAAGGTTCTCGCAATTTATGAATCGTGTTATAGCGAAACCGTGTTATAGGATGCTGTGTTGTAGGAGGGCTACCTGTACTTAGAAAGATGTGTCCTAGAAACCTCGGCGGAGAAGTAATCACAATCCTGAAAGGAATATTACAATTTGTGTCTGTGTAATTTAACACAAATTTAATACAGGAAAAGAGTTAACTATTATATAATTATTTTTTAAGTACTCAGTTCTGTAGCCCTTTCTCTTGAACTGCCAATTTATACGATTTCCATGATAAAAAAGCATTTGCTAATTTAACAATGGAAACGTGACCATTAGTGGACTAGTGGGTAAGACCACTGAATAATTTGTATGTCGTATTAGTAAAAATCCCGATAATCGGAATGGCTGCTTGGGGAGGGGTCTCTAGTTTTCCTCATGTGTAAAGAAGATATGAGGAAATTTTATTCTGATGTTTCTCCAAAAGGGTTCCCTTCTCTTAAGACGATAGTTCTTGTGTACTTTCCTTAATCAGTTATATCCTAACTTAAGCTAACTAACCTTATAAATCTGAAATTCTTCTCACTTCTGTATTGCTGGTCTGCATAATCCATCAACTATCTTTAGTGAATAAATGGAAATACTCTTTGTAAAGTCTAAAAGCACAATAGTCCATTCACATGTCTGGTGGATTTAAAATTCGTTTTTTACAGTGCATAGAATCTATTTAAACATGAGAGATAAAATATTATTTTGATAAAAGAATTTATATTTACCTTTACGCTTGTAGTATGGTGTGGCCCCAACCTGTCAGCAACTGTGGTAGTGACTGCTATGAACGTAAATTTACACAAACACGTAAGAAGGGTTTAAAGCCCTTTTTATTCCACTTTAGAAATAACAGCTGCGTTCACTTGACGCTCACAAACTACGCCGACCCGGCAGTTTAACAAAAACAGATATGTGAAACTAAAAAATAATGACTGGATGAATAAATAACTAGATCACTACCTACGAGGCTCTGAAATCTTAACTAACCTAACCACGTTCTGAAATACAGCTGAGATTCAGCGAGCTTACTGATTAAGCAGTTGAAAGATTCAGCAAGAACTGTCGAGATAGGCACACAGGCCTAAACGCGCGGTTCTTAAATTTCTACCTAGCAACCTTCACGTTCGCGATTCAAGAAGCACACTTACAATCTCGTTTTTCCTTCTATTTAAACTCACTTACTTCTGCTAAAATTTGAATAAACTGCGCGCTCTACTACGATTTACATACTCTAGCATTGGAAATTCGAGGGAAAAGATAAAAGCTTGATAGGAGAAGATAGCTTAAACTTAAAATAAATGTTAGTTAAAATAAATATAAACCCTACACGCTTTATAATTTTATGTTTTTGTTCTATGAAAAGCTATCTATATCATCATTAGCCCTTCAGAATCTAAAAATTTACTTTCAGGTCTTTCAGCTCTGAGATTTTAAGTCCTTTGCTACTTTTTTATGATGACAAAATGATTACTTTGTTACAGTAATTCAAATATAGCCATGCAGTAGGTGCGGTCTCAAAAATTTCCATTTTTTACGTGAAAAATAAATTTCGTAAAGACTTTTGAGTCTAGTGTTTCACTCTACACATGTCTCTTATAAAAAGGTAAGCATTTTTGGAGGCTTTTTTTACTTAAAACTTTGTTGATTATTATATTCTCAGTAGAGACAGATATTTTAAAAGCTTGCTCATTTTAGAAATTTTTAAAATAACATCTACGTACTTGTTTTGAATAATCATCGACAGTATGTTTCCTACAGAAAGCCGTGATCGATCGATTTTTTTCATGTGTTATGAATGATATTATTTGTTGCGACTCCTAGATATTTTACTCCAAGATACCTTTATCATTTCTGTATTAGAAATGCTAACATTTTTCTTCAAAGATTTCTTTTATGAGTCATTTTGAGTTTATAAAATTTTGATTGCAGCTGTTGATAATTTATCTCTTGATGTAAAAGCTGTTGCCAATTTACTTTTGAAGCGTCGTTAATTTCAGATATTTGCTTGACCGAAGTTGTTGAAATATATGCGAACAACCTTTGTGAAAGGGTGGGATTTCAACTCGCGCTATTGTGAAAACGCTGGCTCCGAATGGGATGTTTGCATCAGAAATTCCTAATGTACATGGTGTAGTTGCTGTTACTGACTCAATTATGCGAAACACGAGTCGACTTCGGGTATTTTCTATTAAGCTTCGGAATACTGGTCCGCAAATTAAATGATGTAACCTGTCGATGTGAATGCCTTAATTCCACGAGCTGATTAGGTGAACCTTTCACAATACCATTTTACTGTAAAATTAAGCTGCTGTTCAAATAGCTCTTAATTCTTCAGTCTTACAGAGTTTATGTGACAACACTCATAAGAAAATTTCGAAAATTCAGCAAATGTAGTAAAAAAAACCTCGTGTCCAGAAATATCTTTTTACTTGAGCTAAGCTTAAACTATGAACACACATGATGTAAAGGAGAAAGTTAATTTTGTTTGCACTTGTTTCCCATCTACTCATTTGATGCATTGAAACTTTGAAGAGAGGCTGAAATCGTAGAAACGTAAATGAAACACAAAAAAAAAAAAAAAAAAAAAAAAATATTTTGCAAAATCACTTTTTCACAGCATACAAAATTAAACATGCTATTTAAAATATTCGAAATACTTTTTTGCTGAACTCGAAGTGTTTTTATCATTATAAACGACGATATTAATAAAAAACTACACATATGTTATTATGAAGTTGCTTATTTTGTTCAGATCCTGTGTTACAATCTGTTTCTTTAAAACAGGTATTTAAAGCCATTGCCAGCCCTTCCCCATTTGTGCTCGTAAAGCGTGTCGTCATCACTGTACGTCACTTACTTTCTCCAGCTTATTTCAGACAGTAAATCAAATCAGCCTTCATTCGCGCGGTTTTCATGAAGCGAAACACATTTGACAAAACTGGAGTGGGAGAAAAAATTAGGTGACCCGAATCATCTGTTACAACTGTCGTTCACATGGTTAGGAAACAAATCATGTAACTGAAAATAACCCTGAAGTTCCCCTTTTAAAGCAAAAGACTATAGCGCAATATGAACAGGGAATATTGAGGAAAAGAGTGGTTTTTAATTTTCCCCCCAAACTGAGTTCATATTCGGAACGTAGGAATTAATTAATGGAATCTGTTGCAAAATATCAATAAAATATCGGGCCTAAAAGCCATAAAGCCTGAAAAATGATATTTTACACTTAATACAGTTATTAAGTTTTAAATTTAAAAGACTTATGCGCTTTTATTATTCCATTGAAATATAACAGCTTAAATTTCTATTAAAACGAAGAACTATAAAATTAAAATTTAGTCTGTAAGGTATTTTATCCCTTCTTTCCCTTCGTGGTGTAACGGTAGCACACTCGACGCGTATTCGAAAGCTCCAGTTTCGAGTTCCAGCGGGGTCATTGCTCATTTTTCATGTACTCCAAAAAAATCTAACCTGCAAATCCATTCAAAATTGTTTTAACTGTTGCTCTCCCTATTTATCTAATTTGAAGTGGATTGATAGGTTAATTATATGGGTTATATTATATAGGTTAATTATTGTCTCTTCCTAATAAAATTCTACGTATTATAACTTTTGAAAAAAGCGAAACGTAGCCTTTTAAAATTTTATTTCTTTAACTACTTAATTTTAAGGACATTTCACTGTTAGCAAATCTCTTTGATTTTTGCTTTAAATGTTTCTATCAGTAATATTTCTATCAATATACTGATTAAGTGTGGATATTTCTAACTGTTATTTTTTCACCAGGATTATTCATGACAGCGGATTTACGCAGGAAGATTTCAAGCAGTATAAGCCCGTTGTCTACAGTAACACAATACAGTCAATGGTTGCCATCCTACGGGCGATGCCAAATTTAGGAATTGCATATGGCAACAATGAAAGAGAGGTTAGTGTCATTTTATTTCAGCTTAATTTTGCTTTAAACTATTGTATCAAGTCTCAGATTAATAAGTTACGAATTTAATAAATAAAAATAATTTTACTTGGTAAATAAAATTTTTAGTTGTTAATTTGATAAAAAGAAATTATTCTTTTGCTGTCAATAGCATTGTAAGAATAAGTCAATTAGTACGATAGTAATGTTCTTTACATACAGTAGAATAGACCAAACGTTCCGAATAAACCTCTTGTACAACTCGATTAAAAAAAATGCTAAACTGGTTAAAAAGAATTTCAATACGATCAAACCCTCTTTAAAAAAATTTGAAAGGTTTCAGATTTTAAATTACGTCCAAAGGAGCGTTTTTTAAACATTTTGTGTGTTATTTTTATTTATTAAATATTACGTTCTTCGCACTTAAGCCATAAAATTCAGTTTAAGAGCAATATCGCAAAATAATTTAAAATTGAGCATATCTTTGGAATTTCCGACACACAATCTCACGCGCTGGAGATAAAAATGTTTTTTCTGTACAACGTTGTCATTGCTCGCTTTGAAATCCTTGAGTTTGTTAATTAAAAATTCGTTAAAGGTTTACAAAATATGAAATCGATAATAAAACAGATTCCAACTTTCAAATTTGGGTTCCCACATGATCATATTCTCAGTAGGATTACGTCATTCAAAATTCGATGGCTCTATGTACCAATGTTTTATCACAATGCGAGATACATACATACATTTATGCAGATTTTTCATTATTTAATTTCTTCAAATACAATGCAGGACTCTAACATTTGTTAGCAACAGTTTGAAAAGTGAAACGGACATTTACATTGAACCAACGCAATATCGCAAAACGAAAAAAATAGTCTTTGAGGAACAAAGCCCCTTTGGACTAAAAAACCTTTTCTGATCTTATCAGCTTTTGTTTTGCATTCATCTTCCTAGCAATTTGCAACATAATTCAAAGTTTTTCTCGAAATCTTTTAAATGTACAGGATGTAACAACAATTAGGCTGACATAATCTCTATATTTTGGCCTGACCTCAGTTTAATTCATTCATATAATCTTGATACGTAACAGTAGTAAGAGAAAAATCCAAATCCGAAGATACCAGAGACTTAAGGAAAAGCAGCAGAGCAGAAGTGGCAAAATATCATACCTGCAAGAGTTTCATGTTAGAATTCAAGAGTATTTAAGAAGAGCGTGTTAGAATTCAGGGATATTCAACAGCCCCAGTTAGAAATTTTACATTGTTTTAAGAATAGCAAATATGTTTTTAAACAGGCAAATATGGTTTACAGTAAATTAAGAAGGATTTTACGCTTTTTAATAAATGAGATTTTTTAAAGCATAGATAAATAATTTTTGCTTCTCTTGCTCTATGTTAAGTAAAGTGCATTTTTCCGTTGCACAAGTTCAAACTTTTACTCGATGCGTGTATTATTTTTCCTACAGGTAGTAAATAAGGATTTTCAATTGCTTTACACTTTTCTCCTATTATAATTGTTAATGGAGTTTAATACAAAAGTAAATTTAAAAGGAAAGAAAGCATAATATTTCTTTATAATAATGTAAAATAAAATTCAATAGAGTGAAGACTAATGCAATAATTGGAAAAAGAAAAAAAGAATTAGCGAAATTTACTCGTAACCAATATACACTTCGCAAGTTACCATTTGTATAGAAAATTAGTTTCGATTTTCTCACATAAAACAGAGAATTAACGGAGTAAGGACTAACACTTGATATTAAATCTAGCTTTAAGTCATTTAATTAATTAATGAGATGGCAGACGGATCATCAGCTATATTTTGCTTTTTCTTCTATATAATTTGAAACTTCTTAATGTCCTTACTTAAGATTCGAATTGTATAATGGGAGTAGAATATATTATTTTTCGTGCTATCACTATAACCGCTATTTCTTCATTTTCATGGTAGCACATATCCGAAATAGAATTATTGGGTAACTAGGAAATACTTTGCATTTCAGTTGATAGCTTATGACCTTGGAAACTTTTGAAAATGTCCATCAACTTGCGTCAGAGCAGTTTGTGTTTCTCTCTAATAAACGGCCTGTATTTTTTCTAATAAACGAATCATCTATGAACATAGCATATACTTTTAAATAATAGCTGAAAGAAAAGAAAAATAACGGTCCAAAATGAGCATTATCTTTTATTTAAATGTAATCTGCAACAGAGTATCGCAAAAGCACGTCGAAAATAAAAGCCATATACTATCATAGCATAGTATCAGAACGCACAAATTAGAATTAATTTCAGTGCTTCAGTGAAAAGTAACAGTAAAAATGTACTTCAATAGTAAAAAGCAGCTTAAAGACCAAAAATGCCAAAATGGCCACAGCAAATAAAAATTAAGAACTGATGAAAACCAATGAGATTGACAGAAAATTTGCGGCAGAAACAGATATATGTTTGAGGTTCATAGAGCAACATAGGAGAACAGTATTTACATCTTGAGAAACACTAGACACACATCTAGACGCCTTATATTACATGATTTACAAGTCTAAGGAACTAAGAGAATCAATTGTATTTCAAATCTGTCCTGGCAGATCGAATCCTAATGTTTGCATGAAATTGTAACTTATGATGAAATCTTCGTTCTAATGAGAAATCAGGCAGATCTCCAGAATCTGTTGCAAAACAAATAATACACTTCATAACGTATTCTATTAAATAGTTGGTGGGATTTCAGTGGAGTTTTCTATTAGCAGGTTCTATCACCGAACCAACCATTAAATAGAAAGATGTACTGCTATCAGCTTAACTGTCTTTTCAGTGCTCTAAGGTAAAAGAGCCCATCTTTATTGAATTATCATGGAGGTGTGTTACATCATAACAACGCAGCACAATCTAGCTGGACTCAGAGTTAGTTTAACTGAGAGCTCGTAACGTACCACTCGCATTACCTCCTTTCTCAGTCATTTTATAGTTTTCTCAGGTGACAATTTAAAAAATCTTTGCGTTGGACTACGAAACTTCTTCCGTAACTGAAGAAAGGAATTCTACAAGAAAGGAAGGGAAATGTTACCAAATAAATGGCAGCAATTTTACAGACGTTGATGGAAAATATATTGTAGAAATGTACACTAAAAGGAAACGGAATTTGTTCTCTGAAAAACACAAGAACTCTTCTACATATACATTATTCACCTTTTGCTTGTTAATTTGTCGATAAGCATAGAAACAAGAATTGGAATAGTCTTAAATTTATCATACACATACTTTTGTTTAAGAAATCAAATACTGACTGGTAAAACGGCCTTGTTGAAAAACAATTTCTTGGATCAAATTGTTATGTTGTTTCTTATGTTGCTATCAGATTACTGTTTATTACAATAAGAGCTGCATTTAAAGTGCCAAAATGTCTCATGCGGCTTGCAAGTCAGAGTTTGGCTATGTTTGAGACAGAGAGACGAAAACAATGTTGATACTTTTTCTCAACACAAAAGGAACTAACTATACATCGAAACACGTCCCTTCATGTAGAATAATTAACGGACAATTTTTTAAGAGCTACTATTCCTGTAAAAACAAAAGCTTTGAAATTATTGTATAAATGCAGAAGTGGAATTTTTCGAAAGGAATGAAAGTTGTTTGAAACTTTTGTTGAAGCAAATTTTCAAAATTTGATGTACATATTTCAATTTTTTTGTAATTAGTCTGGTATTTAAGGAATATATATTTAATTTTATTAAGTTAGATAATGAAGGAAATAAAAAGGTATATATAATCTAGAAAAAATTAATATACAAATTTCAATTTTAATTTCGTATTTTTTAATCTTATATGTACTCGGAATGAGTAATATGTTTCCAGAATTCACGGTTAAAATTTAAATAAAGGAGAAATTCAATGCATAAAAAATAACTCAATGAACTTTATAAATGCGGAATAAAAGGAAAGCTTTAGGTTATTGAAAAAATTTATTAAACCTTTTCTATGTTTTCTCCTTCAGCTATTAAAATTGCCAAAAAGTCAGCAAAGCTTTAAATTTCAGAATATCCAGTATTGTATGGAATTTCATAGAATCTGTTCAGAATGACCAGTTTTGTTTACAATACGCAGAATCCAGCCGATATTGCCTCCCCAATAACACATTTTCAGTAATATATATATAGTTTTTACTTTCAAAACACATGAGGAGAGGACATTTAAAGCATTATTTTTAACTAATATTAAATAGAATGAATGAAATAAAAGATAAAAGGTAAACATTAAAAGTTCAGCTGGTAATCTCATGGTGAAAGCAAGTCCGACAATTATACCAGGATCATATAACGATGACTAATACTCAGTCCTTAAAAAACATTCAAAGGGCACGTCTTGCCCTAATATGGCATAGACAAGCATCGTCCGCTTGTACCACAAGGAACTTGAGCCTCCACGGAAACCATCTCAACTCTTGGATGATCTGCAAGCCTTCTGCTTTCCTCCGTTCCTTTCCACGTCTGGGCCCACCAGCGGCCGAGCGGTAAAGTCGCTGAACACTGGTAGTTCGGTCCGAGGTTCGAATCCCGCGAACGGGCTGGCTGCATGGGTATTTTCATGGTTTTCCCCATGTGTAACGTGTATACGAGCCAGTTTCCCTTAGAAAGTCCTCCACGAAGGCATCCTTCCCAGTAGGCAGATAGCCCTCGAGACTTTGCCATAATCACACACACACACACTTTCTACGTCTGGAAGCTATCTGGCGTTGTCTCGACTGCTCCGCACTATCCTAAGCGGTGATGACGTCGCCTCGCTAGGTGTTTGCTAAGTCAGCATCGATCGTCGATGATCTCCCCATATATGGTAAGCAACAAGCATATTTTATGACATACATGGTAGAAGATGGTGTTATGTAGAGAAATTACCGGATAGCGTTATAAAAATTATGTGAATGATTTTCTGATTTATGGAAGTTTAATTTTGTATTTGATTCTGAATTATTTAGTTTAAGGGCTTTAATTTTGGGGAAAAACAGGATGCTTC